CAATTTAGTGATACTCAGGGTTTATTCCTGGCTCAGGATCATGCCAATAGGGCCTGGGAGACCATGTGTGGTCTCAGGGATCAAACCAAGCTTGGCCATATGTCAGGCAAACACATTGAGCCCTGCCCTATCTTTTGACACTTTAATTTTTATTTTAATATTTTGGGATTTGGTTCATACCCAGCTCTTCAGAGGGATTATACCTTTCTCTGTGCTCAGAGATCACTCCTGGGGGGACCATATGTCGTGTCTGGGCTCGTACCTGAGTTATCTGCATGCAAAGCAAGTGCCCAGCCTGCTATACTCACTCTCTAGCTCCTAATTTTCATTTTAAAGTTCTCGTGCATTACAGTTCTTTATTGAATGGGCAATTATGGAAACTTCCTTCATGATATAAAATATTAGTGAATATTTTGGATACACTGATTTGCTTTTTCCTTAAGTTGGCTCTCTTTCTTAGATCTTTTTACTACATACCACCATGGGACTAATTTTTCTTTATATATTTAGTGTGTATTTTTACTATATTTGTATCTATAGCTCTCAGTGGCAACCTCTGATCATATCTAGGCCTGTCATGTTCTTCTCTCAGGTCCATGCTTCCTTCCAACTGGTTGTCCCTGAACGTGACATGAGGGACAGCCACACAGAAGGAAACCGGGCAAAGCTTCTGCCATCCAGAAACTTCAAATTCAGTGCGGTCCATAAGATTGAGACTGTGAAGAGACAGAAGTAACCAATCAGAGGGAGAGAAGCCGACTCAGAATGTTCTCGCTCACATGTGGGATGTAAAAAAGCATCAGGGGGAATATCAAATGCCCAAAGGCAATAGATTTGCAAGTAGGTAAAAGTAGGTAAGGGATATTCTTGATAACCTTTCAGTATCAATACTGCAAAGCACAATGCCCAAAAGGAGGGAGGGAGGGAAGGAGGGAGGGAGAGTGAGAGAGAGAGAGAGAGAGAAAGAGAGAGAGAGAGCAACTGCCAAACTCCCAAAGAGGCAGGCGGGGGGTGGAGTGGGGTATGAGGGTGGGGGGTGATGGGAGGGAACCTGGGTGCTGGGAAATGTACACTGGTTGAGGGATGGGTGTTGGAACACTGTATGACTGAAATCCAATCACGAATGACTTTGTAATGCTCTAAAACAATAAGGCCCTCCCGTTGATCGTCGATTTGCTCGAGCGGGCCCAGTAACGTCTCCATTGGAGACTTTGTTGTTACTGTGTCTGGCATATCGAATACTCTCGGTAGCTTGCCGGGCTCTCCGAGAGGGACGGAGGAATCGAACTCGGGTCGGCCATGTTGGCTACGTGCAAGGTAGACGCCCTATCCGCTGTGCTATGAAGAGCAGGAGAACTGGCCTTCACTAGGAAGCTTGACACTGGGGCAGGGCTGGGGGTGATAAGTTAGGGAAGGGGACTCCTGCACACGCAGAGGGGGATGCCTCTGCTGGCCACAGAGGCAGGCTGGGCGCGGGAGGGAGAGTGGGGACATTGGTGGAGGGTAGCAGACACCTGTGAAGGGGCTGGTGCCTGAAACTCAATCACAAATATTTTCGTGACTTTGGACTTCATGGTGATTCAGCAAAAATAAATAAATAAATAAATAACTGTCCTCCCGTTGTTCATTGATCTGCTCGAGCGGGCCCAGTAACGTCTCCATCGTGAGACTTGTTGTTACTGTGTTTGGCATATTGAATACGTCATGGGGAGCTTGCCAGGCTTTGCCGTGCAGGCGAAATACTCTCAGTAGCTTGCAGGGCTCTTCGAGAGGGGAGGAGGAATTGAGCCTGGCTGCGCACAAGGCAAACGCCCTACCTCTGTGCTATTACTCCAGCCCAATAAATAAATAAATCTGTTTAAAATAAATGTTAGGAGTAAGCCTATGGCCTGGGCTAGGAGGTAAAAATACGGTTTTGAATGCCGTGATGACTTCCCAGAGAAAGGGCTGCATGAAGAGTGACTTAAACACCCAGGAGGAGAGAGTCAGCTGAGAGAAGAGGAAGAGAGGCAGAAGCAAAAGGGGAAAAGAAATTCTAGCCCCACTGTTGGGAGAATATCCTCTCTGATCACTGTCACTGTTACTGTCACTCCCATTGTTCATCGATTTGCTTGAGCTGGCCTCTCTGATCAATCAAATCCAGCCAAAGGCCCGGTTCAAAGTCCTTCCCATAGTTGTCACTATTCTCTGAATAGACACGAGGTCTACAGGGCGCCCCCGTCTTCCTCTCGCCTCTGTTGAGCCCAGGGCTTCTCCTTTGGTTCTAAGGGAGTGGTAGGGAAGACTTGAAGGAAGATTCTTTCACACCAGACGCTCCAGGGAGGTACGCCAGAGAGTTCACGTGATTATGAAGGGCACAAACCCACAGAGGGACTAATTTTCTATTTTCTTGATTTTGTCATTTTTCTCCTCTTCCCTTCCCCTCCAAAAGGTTATTCTGGAATTTGAGGTGAGATTTGGAATTTGATGGACACCTTAAAAACGCATCGATGGATATTTGAAAGCAATCTCCAAATGATCATCGTACTTATATTTCCCGTTCTTACAAGCTGGGTGTTTTGGGGTTTTTTGTTTCTTTTTTGGCTACAAAGAAAAGATCTGTTCTCCAGCGTCCTCTTTCCTTAAACACTGCATTAAACTCTTTCTCATTAAACACAGCTGCAAGGCAGCTGTTGGCAGCAGCCATGAGAGTTCAAGAGTAGCCTTTGGCCCAAGACAAAGAATGGTTGCTTATTACCATTCACGATGCGGGAGGTAACGACAGAAAGGGTAGGAGGAAAAAGGGAGAACGAAAAAAAAAAAGGAGCAGAACTCTTTTCAAAGCCTCTTCTCAGGTGGCAAATGACTCATTCTAAAAAGGAAGAAAATCCATTTTGTGTCAAGGAAATCCAAACAAAAGAAATGAGAAAAGGAAGCTCATTTTTCTCATTAGGAAAGCTGAAATCAATTTCACTGTATTCAAGACATTTGTTGTATTCTGCTAAAACCTGAGGAGCAGGATTATTGCTTTCCTTAAACTAATTGTTTCGTGTTGCCGTTTATACCGAACTGTCCAAGGCAGTGAAAAATAGGAAGTTTAAATGCGGAAATGTCTCACAAGACACGCTGGAGAGCACACATGTTGGTTCATCCACCGCATGCCTGCTCATTAGATCTGAAATTACAGGCTTTTTTGTTCGCATTTGGTAGCACTCACTCATTTTGACGCTGTAAACACATGCTTGAAAATTCAACTTTTTTTGGAAAAGTCCTAATAATTATATATCCATTAATTTGTTGAGAAAAATCAGCTTCTACAGAAGTGCCTGTCATCAATCTGCTGAAAAAACTTACTGTGATTCTCCCAAATTTGAATCAGTTATTTAAGTTATATCTATAGGTTTACAGAAACACATGCAAAATTTTTTTGTAAAAACAAGAATTTTGCCAAATCCTTCTCTAGTTTCCAAGGAATAAACAGTGTAATTCAAGAAGTAACAACTGTTGTGGGAATAATTTTCATGTCTGTTTCACACTGTCCCTGTCACTGTCCTCCCGTTGTTCATCGATTTGCTCGAGCGGGCCCAGTAACGTCTCCATTTTGAGACTTGTTACTGTGCTTGGCATATTGAATATACTCTCAGTAGCTTGCCAGGCTCTCCGAGAGGGGCGGAGGAATCGAACCCGGCCTGGCCAGGCTGTCTGCGCGCAAGGCAAACGCCCTACCGCTGTGCTATCGTTCCTTTCTGTTTCACACATTTTTAATTAATTTGTGTTTTATCAGTATCTTGAGCTATATAAATATTGGATAACTACTTATTTTTCTCAGTGATATTAATTGGTATGACCAGATTTTGAAGTCTTTTATTTACTTTGCTATTTCCTCAAATAATCAGATTTATTATTCAAGTTCCCTTTATATTTAGGTTCACTTAACCTGTGAGCTTCCTTACCCATGAATAGCCATTTGTAGGATGAGTTCAAATGTCATCAGGAAACTACATGAGGTTGTGTTTATCCTCTGTCCATAGCTAATGTTTCAGTCTTCTGAAATCTCTTAGCAATTAGTTGCTCTCTCGTATGTATCTCGTATCTATCACGACACCTTACATTTTAAATTCTCCATGTCTCATTTATGAAATAGACTTCAGCTTACTTAACGGTTTTCACATGGTGTCTTTTAAATACTTCTTAATTAACGGAAATTTGTTGTATTGGGCTGGAGCGATGGCACAACGGGTAGGGCATTTGCCTTGCATGTGGCCGAACCGGGTTCAATTCTTCCGCCCCTCTTGGAGAGCCCGGCAAGCTACTGAGAGTATCTCACCCACATGGCAAAGTCTGGCAAGCTCCCCATGACGTACTCAATTTGCCAAAAGCAGTAACAATAAGTCTCACAATGGAGATGTTACTGGTGCCCACTTGAGCAAATCATTGAACAACGGGGGGACAGTGCTACAGTGCTTGTTGTATAAGGATCTGAGAGATACCTTAAAGGAAAAACACTTGCCTGACCTGTTTATTGACCTGGTATCTCTCAGCAAGTAATAACCAATAACATTTGTTGACTAAATTATAAATAGTAAAAGTAGAATTTTCATTTTTTTTAGAAGAGCAAATAAAGTAAATGCCCAGTGGAAGTCATTCTCTTTATAATCTATGGTCACTGTCACTGTCCTCCCGTTGTTCATCGATTTGCTCGAGCGGACCCAGTAACGTCTCCATTGGAGACTTTGTTGTTACTGTGTCTGGCATATCGAATACGTCATGGGTGGCTTGCCAGGCTCTGCCGTGTGGGCGAGATACTCTCGGTAGCTTGCCGGGCTCTCCGAGAGGGGCGGAGGAATCGAACCCGGGTCGGCCATGTTGGCTGTGTGCAAGGCAAATGCACTACGGCTGTGCTATCGCTCCAGCCCTTATAATCTATGAAATTTCAATTTTGGTTTTCACTAGTTTAAGAAAGATGCCTTTAACTAGTCTTCTAGAAACATAGAGAATTTAGATAAAAGCTCTTAACTTGCCTTTCCTGACGAGTTTGCTCCTCCGTGGTCTCCATGGCACATTCCAGTGAAGTCTGGAGAGACTGCAGTTGGTTCAAGGTTTCCTTTAGTAAAAACCGAGTTACAAATTGCTCCAAATTGGATGCCTCTTGGTAACCCTAAGGATGACCAAACAGATGCAATTAGAACTGTGATAGGAAAAAATGAGCAGCAATAATTTTCTCCCATGATCTATCAAAATCAAAGTAGAACAAAGAGAAAATGAAACTCGTTAGAGGCTGGAACAGGTCTCTCCCCACCCACAGGAAAGGGAGTAATACTTCTGTGGATGGACTGTTAAGGTCCTCTGATATTTGCCTCAGGGTTAGGAAAAAGGAAAGAAATTCAGTAGGTTATAGAACAAATTCCCATATTAAAGGAGAAAACGTTGCTATGTGAAAAAAAAGTTGAATGCGACTGACTCAGAGTTTGTTTTGCATTTTGTTTCTAAGACATAGCAAATGATCAAGATATGTCCATCATCATATTAACCAAAAATATTATGGTTATCATAAAATTTCATGCATATCAGATCATTAAAATTATATTTACAATATAATTATTATATTGTAAATATGAGGAAATAATATTAAGCTTCATCCATGACAATTCTTCACTTCTAGATAATAGCTCAGCAATTTTTTTTTGTAAAACACTTATATTTATTAAATTATTGTACACATGCAACTGACACATAGATTCTGTGAAGAAGATCCCAAAACAGAATGGCGTTGCCAGACTTCAGGAATCCAGTCTTTAATCCGAGATTTTTTTCTTTTTTACTTCTCTCTCTCTCTCTCTTTCTCTCTCTCTAAATGTAGGAGTACTGCTATTTATTCAGCCATTGATTAAGCTGATGAACTGGGCATGAGCTCCACATTACTTTAGATGTATATTTTTAATTGGATATCCGTGAGATAGACCATTACGAAGTATTCTAGGTGTTGAGAGTGTTAAAGGAATCGATTGTTCAAGGACTGTGGAAGTACCATAAGTGGGGGCTAGTTGCCAGGTAAATCAACCATGTGACTAGAGAACTTGCAAACAACTCCCCCTCATCCCTCCCCAACCCCCCCACACACCTTCATGGAGTAGTGGGTCAATGACGCATGAATCTTGCCCATAGAATGAAGCCTTATAATGACTCAAAAATGGGGGATTGGAAAGACTTCCAGGCTTGCAAATTTGGAGATTTGGGGAGAACAACAACACCCCCGGAAAGGCTACAGAAGCTCTACTCCCCAACACACATGTTCTATGTGTCTGTCATTTAACTGTTGCTGAATAAAAACCACTGGAATAAAAATAAGTACATAAATGATGACCATGCCACTGTGTATTTTCTCTATCACCAAATGCTGTCACGCTTTAGTAATCAGCTTCCTTTTTTCTTGGTGTATTTATTATGCCTGATCTGTATTAATATGAAGCCAAAGGAAATTATGTATAGTTATTAAAAAATTCAGTAACTTTTAGTGTTAGGGTATTAAAATGGCTTAACATAATTTACTAAATTTATGAATGTCCCTCTTTCATTAGCTTTAAGGACATTCTCATTTGCATCTAACTTACAGTACATTTGAGCCATAAAAGTACCCTTCATTCAAACTGCCCCACCTCTCCACAAACATAAAAGCTAAACTTGCTAAGCTTCCTCTAGGTAGAGAGGAGGGCTGTGGATATTGCCACCTGCTGCTAAAGAGTTCGAAAGTTTCAGGGAAAACCAAAGGCCCTCCCGTTGATCATCAATTTGCTCGAGCGGGCCCAGTAACGTCTCCATTGGAGACTTTGTTGTTACTGTGTCTGGCATATCGAATACATCACGGGGTGCTTGCCAGGCTCTGCCATATGGGTGAGATACTCTCAGTAGCTTGCCGGGCTCTCCGAGAGGGGCGGAGGAATCGAACTCGGGTTGGCCATGTTGGCTGCGTGCAAGGCAAACGCCCTACCCGCTGTGCTATCGCTCCCAAGAAAGAAGAAATCCAGCAGGGAATGAAATAGACTCACACACCTTTTCAGGTCATAGATGAGTCAACTAAATCTGATTTTCTAGTCTTGTACGGTAGTAGTAGACACACGTTCATAAAAAAGTAAGTTCACTATATCACTGAATCACTGTCATCCCGTTCATTGATTTACTTGAGCGGGAGCCAGTAATGTCCCCATTGGTCCCCAACCTGAGATTTCAGCAGCCTCTCCTTACTCGTCTTTCCCAATGATGCTGTATTGGAGGCTCTTTCAGGGTCAGGGGAATGAGACCCACTATTGTTACTGTTTTTGGCATATCAAATATGCCACAGTAGCAGTAAATTAATAAAAATAATTTATTTGGTTCGTTCCTAAGCAAAATGTTTTTCTTTATGAATGGAAACCTAAAGCTGAAATGAACAATAGTGATAAAAAATGTCAAAAACAATGTACTGGGCAGCCTTAGGGCATGATGATGAATCCAAGTAAGCAGAATTTTATTTAAGTAGTTCACTAAAATAATATTTGTCTCAGCCTTTTTATTCACCATCAGACCAAGTAACTCCAGCCCACGTTCTAACTAAAAATCATTCTATATTTCTATAAATTCACAGTTAGAAAAAAATTAAACTCTCAGGCTCCTAATAACCAATTTTGGGATTTTTATTCCAAAATTCCAATAAGAACAAGAAACTTGTTCTGTTTCTAGCAGAACTCAATGTCATAAAAATTGTACATTTTCTAATTTGAAATTGTGAGAGGTCTTTTTTTTTATAATTTATTTCTTTACTGAATCACTGTGGGAAAAGTTACAGAGCTTTCGGGTTTAGGTCTCAGTCATGTAAATATCAAACATATTTCCCTTTACCAATACTTATTTTTAACCGCGAACCCCAATAGAACCCCACCTTCCACCCCTCCCAATTCCTGTGAGGCAGATGAGTTCTAGTTAATACTCTACTTTGACTAGATACATTGTTTCGATAGCAGATGCACAATTATTGTTTAGACTTTACGACCCCCCCATCAGACATGCTGAAAGTTGTGAAACGATTTGCTTTCTACAACTTGGTTTAAGAATAAAATGATGTTGCGTGCGCGGTTTTGGATTTCTGCTATTTTACTTATTAACCCTGGAAGAATTTCTGTTAAAAGTTAGATAGTTAAGAGATTGGTTTCTGTGCCCTGGAGTCGTGGCCGTGCCGGAGAGCTGCTCGTGGGGGGCAGCTGGTGACCTCGGTCGGGCGTGAAGGACGGCCCATTACGCCCCCCTTCCCATGAGGTCCCTGCCGCTCCCACCACCCCCGGCTCAAACCTGCTGTCCACAAGGCTCCTGTGCGGCCGCCATCTTTCTTTCCAGAGCTGAAATTGTGAGAGGTCTTATTCATTAGTTCTTTTAGTGTCCATTCTTCAGAGGCAAACAAAACAGGACATATTTTTTGGGACATATTTAATAAGACTTTACTTACAAGTGAAAATCTCTAATGTTTTTAAGTGCTGTCTAAGAAGCAAAGCATAAAACATTACGTTCTCCTAGTAACAATAAGGTGTTCAGTGAGTTACTTCAAGCCTCTCTCTCTCTCTCTATATATATATATATGTATATACATAAATAAATACATATGTATATACATGTATTATATTCTTAATTTTGATCAAATAACTTACTATTTAGTGTCAGTTAAAGCTTTAAAAACTATTTCTCAACTGAAATGAAAAACTGAGTCATTTTTCTTGAAATGAAAATGAAATGTGATAATAGAAAAGAGATGTCTCAGAGCTGGCCTGATCTGTACTGCAGGCAGTATACCTGTCTTATACGCAGAAAAACATGTTCCACCCTTGGCTCAGTCTGGTGCCCTAAGCAGCGCCTTTGTGCAGAGTCACACTGAGCACAGCTGGATGTGCCCAAGCAAAAACAAAACAACAACAAAAAGAGATGCGTCAACAAAAACTCCTAGACTCAGTGAAAAACCACAATGTTTTTACACAGTAGTAAGTGAAAAAAACCTTGGGCCTTGGATTAGAAAACTGAGATTATCAATCAAGCTGGGAAGATGATGAAAAAATAAAGAAGTGGCCAAAGTAACAAAAGGACACTGGTGGCTGATCTTAGGCACGTTGGGGTGGTGAAGTACAGTGACTATATACATACCCATAAACACAGGCCAGAACAATAGTACCTGGGCTCAATCTCCTGAACCCCTTATGGTCCTCCAAGCCAACCAGGAGTGATTCTTGAGCACAGAACCAGGGGGTGAGCTCTGAGCACTGCTGGATATGGCTCCAAAACCAAACCAAACCAAACCAAAACAATACACATAAACGTTAACACTATTCTAAATACGAGGCTTAAACTAACAATTAAAATAGAAAAAATATATAGTTTTTACACTTGGAAAGGGGGTTGGCCAACTTCCTGCCCACTAGTGATGGGACCTTTGTAGTTGTGGGGTGGCCCTGTAACTCTGGAGTTTGCTAGATGACATACACATACATTTGCCTCATACACATATATGAGGCAAAACCCCAGAAATGCTACGTCGGAAACTACTGATAAGTCAGTACAATGAAAGATAACCAAAAGAATCATGCACTAATAGAATGATAAAATAATTTATAAAAAAAGAAAAAAATGATGCACTCGGTTCTTCCTCTAGTCATTTACAGAGTGTTAAAAATAATCTAAAATGTTTTTTTATTAAATTGTTGAAAAGCTGTAATTGTGTAGATTATACCAATTATATTGGCATGAAAGTATGTGTTTTTGCCTCTTTGTAAATAGCTTGAAAATCATAGAAAACACATTTGTGAGCAGTATGGCATCACATTGGCCTTGGGCTTATTCTTTTCTCACATAAATGTTAAATATTTGCCATGGAAGAACTACGGAAGGGGATTACTTTTTTTCATTTTCCACTCTAAACACTCCAGTCATTTGATATTAGCTTCTTAGACATAAAGGTCATGTCTCCATTCTCTGTTTGCCTCATGGTGCCTGAAGCATAGACTCTTTCTGTTTGACATTAGCAAGACAAACTCCTAACTCTAACAATTTGTCGTGTTTGCTATTGTGGTCTTTTAATAAAACGGTTTCAGCGATGTTGGATATTTCCGAAGACTTGCCATCAGATAGCTGCTTACTCTACCA